CTGAAAATACCTCTCCCACCAGCAAAATTGAAAAAAGAAGATACGAATTTAACAATTTAATATTGAGGCCAGCAGCGGCAGCAAACAAAAGGTGAGAGAAACAGTGGCGGCAGAGAAACAGAAATTATTTTGAAAAAACAGGATTTTGAAACAGAAGATGGTGAGAATTTTCTAAGTTCAGGCGGCTGAACTGGCATCTTTAAACTAATCATCACTGTCATAGAATGGCCACGGGCCGGCCGCGGATCGGCGCATTTACCACGAGCCTTGAACCAGACCTGGGTTTTTCACGGGACGAATTCAGGTTCACATAATTTTTTGAAGAGTTGAACCGGCCCTAGAGAGCCAGTCAAATTTCTAATTTCTTTTTTTTTTTCCTATTTTTAGGGTTGGGCCGGGCCAAAATACACAACTACTTTAGTTATAAAAAAAATTACATAAAAGATGTCGCATAGAGTGAATTTCAAATACGTTTGAATAGTAAGTTACATAAATTCAAAATTCAAATTAGAGTAAGGAATGTTTAGGGTGAGGTACTCATTCTACCTACTTAACATAAGGTACCCCTTATTTCATCATTAGATTGACTAAAAATAAAAATTAATGATGGATTCTATGGTACAAGGCAAAAGAGAATGTTGGTAACCTTGTACTTTGTTCCGTACCCCTCGTACTTGCTAAAAACCTATTATACCCTTACTGTATTTTAAATTTTAAAAATATTTGAATTAATTATAAAGAAAATTTTTTATTTATTTTCAGGCCCTACATACTTATCTAATTTATATAACAATCCTACAAATTCAAAACACAATTCATCACAACCTAAAAATATATTTTACGATTCCAATTCTTCTTCTTCATTCGAAAAAAAAAATAAAAATCTTCTTCTTAATCTTCTTCCTCATTGTTCTTCTACAAAAAAAATCCGGCCACCTCTTTCAACCTCTCCTCATGCTTCAATCTCAGAACAATATTATTACCCCAACATATATCCGAACGATTGACGATCAATATGTACCTTATCGATAGAATTTTGTATGTAGACGAATCATTACGAATGTGATTTGTGCTTTTGTAATTTGTTAATCGAAATGATAAGAGAATCGACGAAATGTGAAGTATCATTGGAAATTCTTGCCATGCTTCTGAATACTTTTTGTGAATTTTGTTATGCAATTCCTGATACAAAACCCTTGCAGTCGTGTAATGAACATAGGTTGTTTTGGTGAAAAGTTTTGCTTTGGTTGTGCATCCTTTTATTGTACTCGATTGTTATGAATAATGATTTGATGTGAGGAGGTGAATTTGTTATCTAGCGATTGAATATTGATATGTTGGTTTTGTTGTATTCTTAAAAGCACATTACGTGCTTGATGTAATGCCTCACTTGGGATAATGAATGTATGATTTATGTTAATGCCCAGTAGAGAACTCTGCTAGATTTCTTTTAACGCGCGATTGTTTTTGTTTAAAAATCTCTTATTTATCCTAATCTTGGTGTTCTTATCAAAAGCGATTCAGAGAGCAACAAACTTGAACCATGAGTAAGCTTCAGAGTGAGTCCCTAAGGGAAGCCATTTCGGTGGTTACAACCGAAAGTAAGGAGAAGAAGAGAAATTTTACGGAGACAATTGAGCTCCAGATCGGACTATGACCCCCAAAAATTCAGTGGCTCAGTCAAGTTGCCCCACATCCCAAGACCTAAAATGAGTATTTGTATGCTTGGTGATGCCCAGCATGTTGAAGAGGTGGAAAAATATCGGGCTCGAGTCAATGTATGTCGAGGCATTGAAGAAGTTGAACAAAAACAAGAAGTTTGCTAAAAAGTATCATGCTTTCTTAGTCTCTGAAGTTGTTATCAAGCATATTCCCTATCTCTTGGGACCTGTGTTGGGTTCTGTTAGGAACGTCAAACAACATGCACAGTATTGAACTTTATCGAAATAAATCCTAACGCAGCGGAATCTATAGTTAGTATATGGACGTTTACCTTTTAAAATTTTTGCCGACTCTGAGAGGATGTAGAGTACCGTTGGTGAAGTTCGTCTGAACACCACAACCTAATGGGCGGATAGGTTTGGCCTTTAGTTGATTCTAATCAACTCGTCAAACGGACGGACGGTGCGCGGGTCTCGGTCGTCGGGTGGCAGCGGGCAGCACGTGCGCGTCGGGCGCTGGGCACGGTTCTGCGTGTTGTGGACAGCGTGTGCTGGCA